GGTGGCGGCGGAGCTTGCGGCCGAGCCTGGCCCGGGGCAGGGGAGGCGGCATCGGCGGCGTGGAGGGGGCCTGGCCGGCGCAAGGCAGACGGCAGCGGTGGTGCTGCGGTGGGCGAGCCTGGCCTGCGCAAGGCAGCTGGCAGGGGGTTGCGCTGCGAAGGCTGAACCTGGCCAGCGCAAGGCAGGCGGCAGCGTGTTGCGGTGGGCGAGCCTGGCCTGCACAAGGCGACTGGCAGGGGGGTGCGTTGCGAAGGCTGAACTTGGCCAGCGCAAGGCAGACGGCAGCGGGGGCGCAACTGCGGCTGAGCTTTGCGGGGCGCCCTCTGCTAGGTTTCAGGTTGCACTGTTTACACCTGCTGCGTTATTATGGCCTCGTGCAACTGCCAATTTCGGTACGCAGTGCCCTGTTTTTCTTTTACATCGCTGTACACAGGCTACTGCAGTGTCCCTCGCACGCGGACATGTTGCAGCTTGTGTGCTGGAGGCTGGTGACGGGGCTGGGTTCGATGCAGTCTCGTGGTGGTTGGGAGGGAGGCCTCCCAGTCCGTGGCGCTCGGCTCGGTGCAGTCTCGTTCGGCGAGGGTATCCGGGTGCCTGCGCGTCTGGCCGCTGGAGGCGCGCGTGCGGCTATCGTCTACAGTTTCTGAATGCACCTTACACTTGGGGTGGTATCAAGGCTTCTTCGTTCGTGGCAGTTCGTGTCGCAGTTTTCTGGCATTGCAGCACCGTGGGCTGCTGGGTCGCAGGGTGTTGCCGTGTCTCTCGCGCGTGCTCATTTGCGCTACTAGTTGTCGGTGCGATGCTGGCTCGGCCATGGTTGATCTCCCACAGGCGATACCGCCACGCTGCGCGCTCTTTCTCATATGTGTGGAATCGAGGCCTCAGTAGCCTCAAGTTGTTTGTGCCTCGGTCAGTTGCTCGCGTGGTGTCTAGACGTGCGCCCTCGGCAGTGTGACACGAACACAGACCACACACACAGCACACACACATACACACACACACACACCGCACACCACGCACACACACACACACATCACACACTGTGAAGCGCACACGCAAACACACACACACACACCACACACCACACACCACACACCACACACCACACACACCACACAGACACATACCGACACACACACAGACACAGACACAGACACAGACACAGACACAGACACAGACACAGACACACACACACACACACACACGCGCGCGCATGCCAAGCAACAAGACATAAGACCAGAGAGTGGCAATATCAACGAACGGACGAGGGCGCCGCCTGTGGGAGAGCCAGGCGGCGCCGGCATGGCGTCGATGCCCTTCGGCACCGTCGCCGGCAGTCAAGGCGGGAAGCGCCTCCTCCTAATTTCGGGGGTTCAAAGATGGGGTCCTGAGACATGGGGTCCTAAGGACGAGATGCCTCAAACAGTGCAAATCCACCCTTACACCCCTTCCTATCCTCAGGACCCCATCCCTCAGGACCCCGTGTTTGAACCACCGATATAATTCTGTGGCTGCATCCCGCTCATGCCGCCCCCCGAGGCGGAGGAGGGAAGCTCCAGGCTTCGTCGATTGGGCCAGAGTGCAGCCAGGGCGCTGAGGTAAGGGTTAAGTCGGGCATGTCCTTCTACAGGAGGAATATTCAAAAATAGTCAAAAATAGTCCGGGAACATTTGTTTAGCATTTGTTATGTTTTTGTTTTTTTGTTGCATGTTTAACTTATTTTTCTTGGGGCATTTTATTGCAGAGGCCTCCGGCCGGTGCCGCCGATCCGGGACGATCCCGCTGTCAGAAGGACGTTTTCGCCCCAGCCCGCTTGTTCAAACGTAAGTGGTTTAGAAACAGCTTCGAGGCATTGCTGGGGCCTCTACGACGCATCTTCGAGGCCTCCTGGGGGGCGTCTTGGAGGTGGTTGTTGAGCCTCTTGGGGGCCTTTTGGGCTTTTGGGGGGACATGCAGGAGGCATCCTGGAGCCTCCTGGGGGTGTGTAGGAGGTACTCTTTGAGCCTTCGGGAGCGCTTTTGGGCGCCTTTTGAGGGCCACTTGAGGGCCACTTGGAGCCTCTCGGGGTTGCTTGGGGACTCCTACAGCAATTTTGGTGCCTCCTGGGCGCCTCTTGGGCCGTCTTGGGCCCTTCTGGGGCCGTCATGGAGCCTTCTTGGGCGCTTCTTGGGCCCGTCCTGGGGACTGCTTGGGCTGTCTTGGGGGCCTCCCGGGCTGTCGTGGGCCCTTCTTGGGCCGACTTGGGGCCCTCTTGACAGCCTCTGGGCCTGCTTTGGGGGTCTCTTGGGCCGTGTTGGACACTGCGAAGGCCGAAGAAGCGAAACTGCAAAACATATACGTTTTCCTCAGGGAATGAGACAGATTTTCCGTCTTTGGGCACTCTTAGGAGGTGTCGGGAGGGTACGTTGGAGGCTTCTGGAGCCGTCTGAGGAACATATTGGGCGTCTTGGAGCGATGTTGCGGCCACTCAGGGCTCTCTTGGGCCGTCTGGGCGGCCGCTGGGTTTTTTGTATGAGCCCGCGTTCGAGCTCGCCGGGGCGAGGGGCCTACCCGGAGTGAGCTGGAGCTCCGATTTCGCCACCAAAAGCGACTCGGACCCCCTCCCTGACCCCGGCAGAGCCACCCCGGCACCCACTCCCCCAGCAGAGCTGAAGCTCAAGAATCGAGGCTCAAGCTATATCTGAGGGTCTTTGAAACTCACACGCTGGATCGGCAGATTTGTTGGGGCATATTTTGCGCATGTTTTATTTGTCGTCCAAACTCCCCCTGTAGGGGGACCTGCCCGACCCAAGAATAGGGCCGCTTTGAGCTCAGGAGGGTCTCCGGTTCTTGTTAAGAAGGCTGGGTCGGGGAGCCCTTGGGTGGCCCGGCCCAGGCCCGCCGCGGCTGGAAGAACGCCCCGTCGTTCCCGATGCAGCTTGTCACTTAAGTCGGGCACGTTCCTCTACAGGAGGAGTCTTCAAAAATAGTCAAAAAATAGTCTGGGGAGTATTTCTCTACCATTTCTAAGTATTTTTGAATATTTGTTGAGCACTTTGGCTTTTTTTAATCAAAAATCCGCCTGTAGGGGGGACAGGCCCGACTTAAATCTAGCATTTCGCTGCTCTGGCCCCACCTGGGAGGCCTGCAGAGGCGGGGGGGGAGAGGAGGGAGGAGGGCTCGAAGGTTTTCGGAGGTTCGTCGCGGTGCTCGGGTGGTCGAGGCCTCCGGTCAGGGGGGATGGGCTCGGGAGGGGGGGGGGCACGCCTCGACCCCCGATCGCACATTTATCGCCGATCGGGGCCCGATGCTCCACCCCGTCCGGGGCCATGCGGTTTCGCCAGCAGGGGCCGAATGCCGATCTATCGGCGATGTACGGCCGAGTCAAGCTCGATGGTACCCCCCTTGGGCGGGCCCCAACCTTTCGTTCCCCCCGCACCGAGAAATGCCCAGAAGACTCTCGGGGGAGGAGGAGGAGGTAGAGGCCGAGGGCGGGCGCGCGATTTTGCAGGAAGACAACGTGACCCAGGGCTCCGAGGTCGTGTTTTGGTCACGGCGTGGGCCTCGGGGGCTCCCGACCCTTACGTATTCCACGATTTCGATGTGCGTGAGTGGCGGGTGCTTTTTGTTTGATGCCCTGGCGCCCGGTACCGGCTCCTGGCGGCTAACCTCGGCACAAGAACATGAAGCCAGCGTGTCCATTCTGAGGCTGGAAGTGAGGAGGCTTCACGGGTTCTCCGGAGGTCTCCAAGGTTTGTAGTCTCCAAGATTTTCCACAGAGGGAGAGAGAGGAGGAGGAGGAGGAGGAGGAGGAGGAGGAGGAGGAGGAGGAGGAGGAGGAGGAGGAGCAGAGGGTGTTGTAGGCCAAGGGTGGCGGCGAGCAGTGTGTTGAAATCGGCGTGGTGTTGGATTTGGAAGAGGCCGAGGACGTCTCGTCGGCTCACGCTTCAGCATGTGTTGGCGTCGCTCGCAGAGGTAGAGGCCTGGGGAGCGGGAGATCGGAAGGACTCGGATCCTGCGCCGGATGGGGCACCATCGGCAAGGATCAGGAGCTTGGAGACGGGGGTCAATGCAAACGGGGGTCAGCAAGAGCGCCCGATCTTGCAGGATCTTGCAGGGCCCGGGCCGCACCGACCTGGGCTTGGGCGCAGGGATCCTGCAGGCTCTTGCAGGCTCCTTCGCACTGACCCGGGCTTGGGTGCAATTCGGATCTTGCAGGATCGTGCAGGATTTGCAATGTCTGACTCACCCGGGTCTCGCAGGCCTAGCGATTGACACCAACACCAATTTCGGCAGTGTGCCTCCACCGAGGGAAGGAGATCCCGATCTCGGTGATGGTGGTCATACTCTTGCTTCCAGGATGGCCGAAATATCACCATCAGCACCGAAATTTGGGATCATCTTCCCCCCTGTGGAGGCAACCCCCTGTGTTGGCGTTGGTGCCCATTTCCAGGCCTCCGAGGGGGCTGGGACGTCGGCGCTCTGAGCGACGTCGCCGAGATGCATGCGTCGCAACTTCCAACGACGGTGGTTTCTTCAGGGGCGGGCTTTGGGACAGTCGGGCCAGGGTGAGCGAGGCGATGGCGTCCGCGTTGCGCGCTTTCTGGAGCTGCTGGTTCTTCGCGCCATTGACGGCGCAACGCCCATTCCACGCCGTGACCCACGGCCACCTCGCCCGTGTCGACTTCGAACCAGGTCTGCGCGCGGTTGCCCAGGTGCTGGAGCACGTTCGATCGGCCCGGGAGCACGGAGGCGAGCTCGAGGTCGGATCCGCTGCGCGCCCCCGCTCGGCCGTGGCGTCCGCTCGGCTGCCCGGCGCGTCCCCCTCGGCGCGGCCAGCGCCCGAGCGGCCGGGCCCTCTGGGAGCACCGCGGGCCGCCGAGGAAGCAATAGCTCGCGCGCGAAGCCAAGCACTGCCCGGGGAGTGTCCGGAGGAGAAGCCACACACAGACACGCACAGCATCGCTGATGCCCAGGAGGAAACTACTTACGCAAGAGCATGGGAAAGGGGGAGGGGGACGCCGAAGCTGCAGAAAAGACGTGTGAAACGATATGGCATCCTGGGAGTTGTGATTGTCTATTGGAGAGGCCTTACGGCCAGCGCCGCCGAGCCTGAACGATGACAACGACGACGACGACGACGACGACGACGACGACGACGACCATGACGACGACGACGACGACGACGACGACGACGACGACGACGACGACGACGGCGACGGCGACGGTGACGGCGACGGTGACGGCGACTGCGACGGCGACGACGACGACGACGACGACGCCTGCAACGACGACGACGACGATGGGAACTGTCTCTACGTACTTGTGTACACCAGGGTGTCCGCCCCTTTTTCGGCCGCGCCCTCGCCCTCCTCCTCCTCCTCCTGCTCCTGTTCCTCCTCCTCCTCGTCCTCCTCCTCCTCCTCCTCCTCCTCTTGCATGGTGTCACAATTCGCTTTGACGGCATCCCCGTCTAGGCATTCCATCGCCAGCGCAGTCACCCTCTGCCTAGCCTCTCACGCTAAAAAAGTGTGTACCTGGGCACCTTCAGAGTGGACGCCCGAGCGATGGCAGGTCGGACGCCCCCCTCGGGAGAGCAGCGCGCGGGCCGGCCGCCCGCGCGAGAGAGAGGGACGTAGGAGGGGGGAGGGACGAAGGAGGGGCCATAGCATAGGAGGACGAGGACGAGGGGGAGGAGGAGGAAGAGGACGAGGAGGAGGAGCAGGAGGAGGACGACGAGGAGGAGGACGAGGTGGAAGAGGAGGAGGAGGAGGAGGAGGAGAAGGAGGAGGACGACTACAAGGAGGAGGAGGAGGAGGAGGACGAGCAGGAGGAGGACGAGGAGGAGGAGGAGGAGGACGAGGAGGAGGAGGAAGAGGAGGAGGAGGAGGACGAGGAGGAGGACGAGGAGGAGGACGACGAGGAGGAGGACGAGGAGGAGGACGAGCAGGAGGAGCAGGAGGAGGACAAGGAGGAGGACGAGGAGGAGGAGGACAAGGAGGACGAGTAGGAGGAGGAGGATGAGGAGGAGGAGGATGAGGAGGAGGAGGAGGAGGAGGAGGAGGAGGAGGAGGAGAGCAGCACCGCCCGCCCGTGCCCAGCGCCCCTGCCGCCCGTGCCGCTGGCGGGGCCGAAGACCCTGCTGCCCGGGCAGCAGCCCGCGCCGCTGGGCGGGCCGAGGACGACCGGCGATGAGACGCGCCCGCGTCGGCGTCGTCGACGACGACGTCGTCGTCGACGACGACGACGTCGACGACGACGGCGTCGTCGACGACGTCGTCTACGACGACGTCGACGACGACGTCGACGACGACGTCGACGACGACGGCAGCGACGCCGACGACGGCGACGGCGAGGACAGCGTCGTCGTCGACGAGAACGACGACTGCGAGGATTCCAGCGTCGACGACGACAACGACGACGACGACGACGACGTCTGCAGCGAGAGGCCGTCGCAACGCTAGGCGAACCGAGGACCATCGGCGACGTCGACCACGACGTCGTCGACAACGACGTATCGACATCGATGACGACCACCACGGCGACGGCGACGGCGGCGGCGGCGACGACGACGGCAGCAGCAGCCGGTGGCGTGCAGAGGGCTTGGCGCGAGGGCGAGGAGCCTCTTTCCAGAAGGCAGGGATGATTCTGGGTAGGGTGTCTCGGGAGCTTCGGCAAGCCTCTGAGAGGCCCGTGGCCCTTTTGAGAGCCTCCGGGCTTCCGAGACGCCCGCCCCCCTCGCTCCTGCCCCCCCCCCCTCGCGCGAGCCTCGCGGGCAAGGGCATGGTGCTCGTTCCTGGTGGAGCTCCAGGAGCACCGCGATCGTGCCACGGCCCGAGCCTGCTGCTCGCGGCCTTGCGTCTCCCTGGGCCTGCTCTCGATGGCGTGGCGCCTGTGTTCCCCGCGCCCTCCCCTTCCAACCTGCAGCGGCACGCGCTGGAGGACAGCGCGCTGTCGACGACGTCGGCGACGGCGTCGGGCACGACGGCGATCGCGCCCACGACGGCCACGGCGCCGACGCTGGCGCTGACGGAGACGCGGAAGCCCCGATGGGCGGGGGGTCGAGGACCATGGTTCTCGAGCAGCCGCTGGAGCAGCCGCTGCAGCCGTTGGGCGGGCCGAGGACCCCCCTCGGATGAGGAGGGGGGATCCGGGGAAGGGGACGGGGAACGGGTGGGATCGGGGAAGGGCGGGCCCTGGGCCAAGGGGGGGCGAGGCAGAGGGGTGGACGAGGCAGAAGTGCGGAGCAGGGCAGGGAAGGGGGGCGAGGGGAGGGGGAACCCAGACACCCAGCCGCGCCACTTTTTTTTTTCTCGTGGGCCCCGGAGGTCCAGACCACCTCCCCGGGGCCAGCTTTTCGTCCCGGGTCGTTTTGTGACGCTCCCGAGGCCCGGCGAGGGCCCCCAGAGGCCGAAAACTGCCAGCATCCCGCCAGCTCCAATTGTTGTTTGGCAGCGTGGGATACGAGGGGATATGTCACCCTGCCCACGCACGTGGTGTCCCCCCATCTGGAGCCTATCGCCCGTCTCTCGGCGATGCATCGCCGAGACCAGGTCGGCGCCCCCCTCCCAATCGGGCCAGTCCCCCCTACGGCTCCCCCTTCGCTGGAGTGAGGAAGAGGAGGTGTGGAGCAGGGAAGGGAGGAGGAGGAGGAGGACGAGGAGGAGGAGGAGGAGGGAAAAGGAGCAGGATGATGATGATGATGATGATGATGATGATGATGATGATGATGATGATGATGATGATGATGATGATGATGATGATGATGATGATGATGATGATGATGATGATGATGATGATGATGATGATGATGATGATGATGATGATGATGATGATGATGATGATGATGATGATGATGATGATGATGATGATGATGATGATGATGATGATGATGATGATGATGATGATGATGATGATGATGATGATGATGATGATGATGATGATGATGATGATGATGATGATGATGATGATGATGATGATGATGATGATGATGATGATGATGATGATGATGATGATGAGAGAGGAGGAGGAGGAGGAGGAGGAGGAGGAGGAGGAGGAGGAAGAAGAAGGGTGCACGACGTCGGCTGCGTGCAGCCGGCCTCGGCCCGCCGGCCGGGCGCCGGCCCTGCCGCGAGAACGCCCTCGCCTGCGCCTCCAGGGGGGGAAACGTCATATCAGGAGTGCGGTCAGGAACCCGTGGTTAGCGTGTCGCTCCGCCGGTTCTGGCCCACCACGCTTCGGCGTGACACGCTGACCACGTCCCTGTCCCAGAACGTGGGCGTCCCGAGCTTCCCCCAGCCTCCTGCCCCGCAGAGCGGAGCGACACGCAATTTGCTCGTAGGGTAGTATAGCGTGTCGCTGGGGCCGCGGCCGCGACACGCTAAGCCAACATTCCTGACCTTACCTACTTGTCGGGGAAACGTGAGACTCGAGTAAGCCGGAACTCGGGTTTGCCGTCGTTTTTTGGCGAGTTCCTTCTGGAGTTTGACGATCCGGTGTTCGTGGGATGTCTGCCGCGGGAGTGCGCGTCGAATTTCGGATTGGGTCTCGGCGTTTTCACGGCGGCCCCGTCAGGCCAACCCGAGTCCCACGTACCCGAGCCTTACGTCTCCCCAATCCAGGGGGAGGGGGGGGGGGGGCAGGAAAGGCAGCCACGCGCGCCGATTCGCCAAGGCCCCCCTCCTGTGCTTCCCCGCTGGCCAGGGTGCCAGAGCCCCTCGGGCCATGAGAAAATCACGACGGCGTCTGCTTGGCGTCTGCTTGGCGGAGTCTCCTTCCCGTCAGTGGAGAAGCCTGCAGTTTTCATCGCTCTCGGGGGCAAAAAAAAAAATCACGACGGCCGGTTTCTCGCCATTTCCGGCCTCTGGGACCCTCACCGGGCCTCGGGACCGTCAAAAAACGACTCGGGATAAAAAACTGTCCCGGGGAATGGGTCGGGGATCTCTGGGGGTCGCGTCATGAAAAAATCATGACGTCGGGGGTCTGACGTCGCAGCCAGCCATGCTTCAGCTCGAGAACGACGCCACAGGCGTGTCGCCCTTTGGTCTGGTCAGTTCGCTTTTCATTTCTGAACTCTCTCTGTGCTGCCCCGGGAAGCACTCGCCCTTGGTAGGCCCCGTGGTTTTTCACGTAAGAGTTTACTAGAGTTGGGCACGTCTTCGCGACACTGCCATCGTCCGCCGCCGCCGCCCAGTGCCTCTGGCCATACCAGGGGAGCCCAGAGGTCTTCTCTCTTTCCTTATACCCTGTGTCCCTCAACAGTTCTGGGGGCACCTGTAGTCCTGGGAGGGTACCTGCAGTCCGGGGGAGGGGTACCTAGTGTGGGGCAGTACCAGTAGTCCGGGGTGGGGTACCTGTACTCCGGAGGCAGGGTATCTCTAGTCCGAGGGGGGTACGTACAGTCAGGGGGGGAACGCGTGTTCATGTGTCAACGCACGCGTGGATGTAGTTCTGTGGGGGTACCTGTTGTCCAGGGGGGGCCTGTAGTCCCGGGCCCTTCGGACGCATTCACTGACACCAATGACCGCGTGGACGTTGACACCGAGTCCTTGAGAGGCCTCGAAGCGAGCGCGCGCGCGAGGCGGGTGGGTGAGGATGCACCTCCCTTCCGGTGACGCTCGCCCCTCCTCCTCCTCCTCCTCCTCCTCCTCCTCCTCCTCCGTTTCTCCCTCCTCCCGTGCCTCTCCCCCCCGGCTCTTCCCCTCCGTCCTCCTACTCTGCCGCCTTCTCCTCCGCCCTGGACTCGTCCGGCCTGGGAGGACCATGCTGCCCGGGCAGCCCGGCGAGCAGCCGCCCGAGCCCCTGGGCAGGCCGAAGACCATGCTGCCCGGACAGCAGCAGGGCCCGTTCTCTGTCGGCAACGGGGTCGGCCGCCCGCGGGCGTTGCGCGCGCGCGCCCTTCAAGGGCGGAGGGTTGTCGTCGTCGTCGTCCTAAAGATCGTCGTCTGCACGTGGCCACTCAGCGACGCACAAATGATGGGGCCGTATGCGCCGACATTGGCGCGTAAGCTGCCCGCGTGAGGTCGCGCGTAAGTGCCCTCGTCTCCAATGGAGCATTCTGCGCTGGTGGCCTGAGCAAGCCACCCGCGTCTGGTCGCTACGTCATCTCGCTCAAAACCGGTTTCTGCTCGTCGCTCAGGTGGGATCGGAGGGTCGCGCCGCATCGACGATGCATCGGCGAGGCGGCTGGATGCGGATCCCCATGTTCTCCACGCAGACGTGACCGATGCATCGCCAATACATCGGCGATGCGGCACGATCCTCCCGCCACATTTGCTCGAAGCCAATCTGGGAGGCCTCCAGACGTCTGGGTCATCCACGGGGGGCGCGATGCGCGAAGTTGCGTGACCTAAGAGGCAGACGGGTCCCGAAGGAAAGGTTTTTTATCGGAGGGTTTGGGCAATTTTCAGGTTCCCTGGGGCCCTCGACAGGGCCTCTTGGACCGTCCAAACATGGTTGACGCTTCGCGTATCCCCACCAGGCGGGACGGACCACGCCCCCCTCGTTGCATTTCGTCTGATGTCCGTGTTCAGTGGTGCTAAGTTACTGGTGACGTGCAGCTGTCCATGAGCCTTCGTTGGTCCGTGAGCGAGGGTTCCTGGTTCATGCTTCGCTTTCTCCGTGTGCAGGGCGTCGGCGTGCGGTTCATTTCCCCCCCGCAGGTTTACTCCGGCGATGGCCTTTGGCCCGCTGGTTCTTCCTGCTCGCCGTCTGGCTCTGCCAGGCCTCTTCGCTATATCCCTTGCGTGTGCCCCCGGCGGTGGTTTTGGCCCGCTGGTAATTATCTCGCTTCACACTTGCATCCCAGCGTTGGCTCTTGGCCCGCTGGTAATTATCTCGCTTGGCCCCCCAAGCTTGCTACGCCTTCTCTGGCACAGGTGCTCTCCGGCGTTGGCTTTGGCCCGCTGGCAATTTGTTCCGGCCCGCTCTCTGGATTCGTCCTTGGAGCCGCGGTCAAAAGTGTTTCCCCCCCCCGCGCTCTCTCTGGCGCCTGTGCACTCCAGCGTCGGCTTTTGGCCCGCTGGCAATTATCTTGCGCGCTGCCCCATGCTCGATACGACCCGCTCTTTGGAATCGTCCTTGGAGCCGCAGATCAAAAACAAGTATCCCCACCAGGCGTGCACTGTCTGGTGGACTTTTAGGTGCTGTGACCGCGCCGGAGTGGTTCAGCCTTTCGCAGCCGCAGCAGCACCCCGGGTTCATCCCCCCTCTTCCGGCAGGTTGCGTCGTTCCACGTTCCTCGGCAGCTCAGCTCCCCTAGCCAGCACACGTCGTTGGGACGGACTGGGGCCAAGCGCCCCAGTGGCGACTCGCTCATCGGGCTTCGCGCCTGCCCCCACCCAGTAAGACGGGCACGTCTGCCCCGGTGCACGTCATGTCGCTGTGTTGGTTATGCCTCACGGCAGGCAGCGAATTTCTCTACATTTTGTTAGATTGCACGTGCCCGAGGTTCCCAGGATGTCCCCTGCCGTCAGCTTCCCGCACATGGCAGCCCCGCGGCTGCTTTGTGAGTGGGCCGGCCGGCTAGCGGCGCGTCTTGTAGCTAATTAGGCTTGCCCGTCGGCCTGGACACCGTGTTCGCCGCCTGCGCTCTTCGTTCGCGGCCGCGACCAAAAAAACATCCCCACCAGTGCCGTTTCCCTTTCTCTCCTGGTCACCGCCGTCTTGGGCAAGTGTGGCGCATTCGGACCCCCTCCTCGTAATGGTCATCGTGCCGGTCTGCCATCTCTTTCGTCCTGTTGGACGCTGAGCCCGTGTCTGCGCCGGGCGTTGCTCTGTTCTGTTGTTCCCTTTTGTTTCGGCGCGGCCCGCCCTTGCTTCGCTCAACCTGCTTCGCGAGCCCGCGCACCAAGCAAGTATCCCCACCAGCCCGAGCTTTGCCCGGCTGTCGGCATGCTTCGCGAGCCCGCGAAGCAAAAAGTAGCCCCGCCAGCCCATCCAGACAAGATGTCCAGACAAGTTCCCATGATCAAGGACGTAGGGGAGCATACACTGGAGCACAGGGGTGGAGAAGCCGTCGCACTTCAAGATGGGGGAAGATGGATGAGTAATAGGATGAGGAGGAGTAGGAGGAGGAGGAGGAGGAGGAGCAGGAGGAGGAGGAGGAGGGCGAGGAGGAGGAGGTAGGAGGAGGAGGACGAGGAGGAGGGCGAAGAGGAGGAAGAGGGCGAAGAGGAGGAGGAGGAGGAGGAGGAAGAAGAAGAGGAGGAGGAGGGCGAGGAGGAAGAGGGCGAGGAGGAGGACGAGGAGGAGGAGGGCGAGGAGGAGGAGGGCGAGGAGGAGGAGGAGGAGGAGGAAGAAGAAGCCGAGGGGGAGGAAGAAGAAGAGAACGTGGAAAAGGACGAGGTTGTGGCCGCGTGCCAGCGCTCGCCGCCCGCTGAGCGAGACCCGGCAGGGCTGCCACGGGGGGGAGCCCGTAGCATCCTCGTCGTCATCACCTTTTTATCATCTGCAGGAGCAGTATCGCCATCGCCGATCATCATCGCAGTCACCATCGTCGTCGTCGTCGCCGTCGCCAGCGTCGTCATCATCACCACCGTACTCATCATCATCATCAGAAGCAGCAGCATCGCCATTGTCATCACCATCATGTTCCAGATCATCTTCCTCGCCTTCGCCATCATCATCAGCATCATCATCATCGTTATCATCACCACCACCATCACCATCACCATCACCATCATCCTCATCACCACCATCATCATAATCAACATCGTCGTCGGCATCATCAGCATCATCATCAGCATCATCATCATCAGCATCGTCATTGGCATCATGATTCTAGACATCTGTTCCAAGCCCCGCCGCGCTCGAGGCCTCGCCGCCATCATCCTCTTATTTGGAGGTTGATCGACCTCCTACGCTGGCACGTCGATCAGCGAATTGGCCGTTTTCGGTTCGCGAGAGGGCGTCTCGGCCGTCATGTTTGCGGGTTCCTAGGCCGTTTTCACCAAAAGGTGGTTTTCTAAAGGGAGGTTTGTCCACCGCCGACGTATGCCCTCTCCTCCATTTTGTGGTTCCCCTCCTGCTCCTGCCTGGCGTCCTCCGCATCCTCTTCGTCTTCTCCCTTCTCCTCGCTCCGCACCCCCTCGCGCTTTCACTCCCCCCTCCCCGCTCCCGCCCCAGTCTTCCCTCCCGCCCCCCCCCCGCCTGTTGGACGACGGCCGTAGTGGCCACCCTTCGGATCCCGGCTGTTTCTGGGGATGCCGTAGATCGGGCGCGCGGCACGGGGGTAACAGGGCCGACCCGAGCGAGGGGTGACGCAGAGGGCCCGCAGTGGGGCCCCTATGGGGGCTCCCTTTTGGGCCAGCAGGGGCCCATGATAGGGGAACGAACAACGACACAAAGATCAACAAATGCGGAGGTCCAGGGGCGGCGCGGGAGGCGCCGCCAGGGGGGCCCCAGCGCCGAGCCGAGAAATCCGCGCGGACCTCCGAGTTTTTTTATGTCGACGTCGCTGCTTGCTCCCCTATGTGAGGCCCCCTCTTCCCCCCCAAATGTACAGTCTACTCGCATAGTAAGGATGGGCAACCTTCCCCCTTGCATCCTTACCTCCTCGGTCCATCCTCGGCCACTTTTGTTGGCCGCGCCCAGCTCGAAAAGCTTCGAGATGGGCGTCCAAGGCCCTTGCGTCCTTATCGCGCATCCTTACTCCTGGTTGACTGTATATGAGGCCCCCTCTGCCCCCCCAGTGCAGGTCACCCTCCACCACCGCTCGCCCGAGCAGGCTGGGCGACGTGAGAGCTCTCTCCGCCCAGGCCCCACGCGCGGGGCGAGGACGGGGAGAGGAGGAGGAGGAGGAGGAGGAGGAGGAGGAGGAGGAGGAGGAGGAGGAGGAGGAGGAGGAGGAGGAGGAGGGAGGAGGAGGAGGAGGAGGGGGAGGAGGAGGGGGAGGAGGAGGAGGAGGAGGAGGAGGAGGAGGAGGAGGAGGAGGAGGAGGAGGAGGAGGAGGAGGAGGAGGAGGAGGGGGAGGGGGAGGGGGAGGAGGCGGTAGGAGGAGGAGGAGGAGGAGGAGGAGGAGGAGGAGGAGGAGGAGGAGGAGGAGGAGGAGGGAGGAGCTAGGAGGAGGAGGAGGAGGAGGAGGAGGGGAGGAGGAGGGGGAGGAGGAGGAGGTGGAGGAGGAGGAGGAGGAGGAGGAGGGAGGAGGACGAGGAGGAGGAGGAGGAGGAGGAGGACTCGCAGGCGGAGGAGGAGGACGAGGAGGAGGAGGAGGGAGGAGGACGACAAGGAGGAGGAGGAGGAGGAGGAGGACGAGGAGGAGGTGGAGGAGGAGGAGGAGGAGGAGAAGGTAGGAGGAGAAGGAAGAGGTAGGAGGAGGTAGGAGGAGGAGGAGGAGGGGGAGGGGAAGGAGGAGGAGGATGAGGAGGAGGAGGAGAGAGACATGGAGGAGGAGGAGGAGGAGGAGGAGGAGGAGGAGGAGGAGGAGGAGGAGGAGGAGAAGGTGGGCATCGCGCTTCCCCTGTTTCCGCAGCTGCGCCCGGCCAGGTCATGCCATCCATGCCGCCGGCGCCCGAGCTGGCCGGCGCCTCGGCACATCTTCCTTCCAGATGTCCATGTCTATATATATATATATATATATATATATATATATATATATGTGTGTGTGTGTGTGCTCTCCTGTCCCCGCTCAGCGCCGCTCATCCCCGAGTCCTCCTCGTGTTCCCAGCCTTCGTGCTTCTTGCTGCAGCTACTCATTCTCATGCTTTTCTTCCCCCCCTGCGCACTCCTCCCAATGTACGCAACGTCTGTGCAATCCGTTCCTCCGATCGCTAATGTGAAAGGGGAAGGGGGGGGAATGGAGGGGTTTGAGTGTGAGAAGAGAGGGAAGGGAAGGAAAACGCTGGAGAGATGTCGGGGAGGGGAGGGGTATGGGGTTTGGGGTATGGGGCATGTGGCATGGGATCCGCATGGATTGAGGAATCTGGGGTGGCGAGAGAGAGAGAGAGAGAGAGAGAGAGAGGGAGAGAAGGGAATGGGGGAAGAGAGTCGAGGAGAGGGGAGAGAGGAAGGGGTGGCCAGAGGAGTTGGCGGGTGAAGGCGCATGGGATGATGGAGGCGGTGGAGTGGGATTGACGAGGGAGGAAGGACGGGGGATAGCCGAAGATGGAGTACGCCGAACACGAACGCATTGCGAGGAGGAGGAGGGGAGCGCCAGCGTAAACCACAACAACATACGCCATGCTGCAATACACCACCCCGCCCCAAGTCCCCCCCTCAGACGCCCCGGCGAGTCCTCCTCTGCACTACGAGAAACGCCCCCTCGAATGACTAGCAGAGTCGGGCCTGTCGTCTTGGCTACAGCCCATCTTCCAAAAGGAAATACCGTGCATGTGTCTGGCGCGTAGCCAGGGACGGGAGAACAATGGTCATACAGTTCAACGAGGTGCCCAGCGATATTTCTTTTCGAAAAAGGACCGCCCCCCCCTTCCGAGGAAGTCTCAAGCGGCAGTTCGGGCCTGAAGAAAAGAGCCGCCATGGATCCGCGCAGCGCTAGGTGCGTTGAGGTGTCCGGTCTTCAAACTGAGCGGGGCCTCATGCGGCAGTTTCATTCTGCAGGCGAGCAGTCCCCCATCGTGTTCAACGGTGTATACAAAGAGCACGTGCGCGTGGCGCTGATGCGCGAGCCCCATTTCGAAAAAGGGAGTGGCGCCGCTATCTCCATCCATGCAGCTCGTGCGGCTTGCTCAAGACAGCACGAATCTGAGCGGCATCAAAGCAAAAGCACCAGTTTGGACATGACACCCCTCCATCCGTGAAGCTGCTGCAAACGTTTAAGGCGAATGTGCGCGGCGCTCAGGCGAGAGCCACATTCTGAAAACCACCACCGACAGGATTGAAGCAGCTGCAAACGTTACAGTGGAAAGGGCGCGGCGCTGAAGCGCTAGCCATATGTGGACAAACACACATCCCCTCCATCAGCGCAAGTGCTGCACTTTGGCCAGGGCCGTACTTCGAAAACGACTCCCTCCATCCGTCAAGCTGCTGCCAACACGAAGGTTCAGGATCATGAGCGGTCAGGAAGTCTCGGTCTCAGGCCACAGGGGAGAGCAGTTCATTCCCTAAACAGCGCTTGCAGGCTTCGGGTCCCTTACTTGCGCTCCTGATGACTTGGACGGGTGTCCCGCGGCGTCGTCGGCTTGTTGCTGCGTTGCTGCCCGGTGCCGCGCCGGTGCCGCCTGTGGGGGTGGCTCGAGGAGTCGCCACCTTCTGGCCAGTTGTCGCCCGGCTTCCGCCTCGTTGCTGGGTCGTTGCCTCCTCGTGCGCTGCGGGTGTGCGGAGGAGTCGCCACGTCGCCGCCCGTTGCGCGCCCGTGCCCATCTTGCGCCGCCCGGCCTGCACTGCGACGCTGCAGCAGCTCACTGGTCAGGACCCGCGCCGGCAAAAACAATGCTTTGGGGCATGACGGGCGTCATGGGGGGGGGGAGAGGAGAGGAGAGGAGGGAGAGGAGGAGCCATGGGGAGGAGGAGGGAGAGGAGAGGGTGGAGGGGAGGAGGGAGAGCGAGGGAGGGAGGGAGGGGGATGGAGGGAGGGAGGGAGCGAGGGAGGGGGAGAGGTGGGCCATGGAAGAGCGAGGGAGGGAGGGAGCGGAGGCTCAGGAGGGCGAGGAGAGCCATGGGGAGGAGGAGGGTGCAGGAGGGAGGGGAGGCGGAGGAGGGCCCCCTGACCCTGGAGAGGGCGAGGGAGCGGGGGCAGCGCGGGGAGGCGGAGCGCGCCCCCCCCCCGCCGCCGCGCGGCCTCCCTCCCCGCATCCCTGCCCCGCCGCGCCCCCGCTGCCCGACGGGCCCTGCGGCTGCCGCGGCCTCGGCTCCAACCAGACGGGAGGAGGTAAGATTTGGGGAGGAGGAGGAGGAGGACGAGGAGCGGAGGCAGGAGAGGAGGAGGAGGAGGAGGAGGATCATCGTCTTCAGGAGCACGAGGAGGAGGAGGAGGAGGAGGAGGAGGAGGAGGAGGAGGAGGAGGAGGAGGAGGAAGGGGAGTAAGAGGAGTACGAGGGAGGAGGAGGAGGAGGAGGAGGAGAAGGAGGAGGAGGAGGAGGACTCGCAGGAGGAGGAGAGGAGCGACGATGACGGACGCGCCGAGGACGAGGAGCCGCCTCCCCCCCTCCGCCCCCGCTTCCCAGAGACCCGCCCTCGGGACCGCCGCGGGGCTCCCCGGCGGGCCCCTACAGCTACCGTTGAGCCACCTGGCCCCCGAGGGGGGCCACGCGCCCTCGAGAGCTGGGCGGGCGGGCTGCGCCGCGGAGGCCGGGGGCGTGCCAGGGCCCCACCGTCCCCGCGTTGTGCGAACAGCTTTCCCGGGCAGCTCTCTGAGGGCCAGCGTGCGGCTGCTCATGCTCCGGGCGTCCGCGGCGATTCCATGCGCCAGGATCCCGCAAAGGTCGGGCCAGACGAAGGGTGGGGATAGGGAAAGGGGGGGTTACGAAATCTGCTGCATGCAGCTGGTTTCGGCCCCACCGAGGTGCCCATTCCTCGATACATGGCCGCTTCCGGCGCTGGGAGGCGCTGGGAAAATCAGCTACGTGGCTGATTCTCACCCCCCCTCCCTTTGCTATCCCCCCCTTTCGCCCAGCCCGAAAAGGGGGGGGGCCGTGTGTGTGTGTGTGTGTGTCTCTGTGTCTCTGTGTCTCTGTGTCTCTGTGTCTCTGTGTCTCTGTGTCTCTGTGTCTCTGTGTCTCTGTGTCTCTGTGTCTCTGTGTCTCTGTGTCTCTGTGTCTCTGTGTCTCTGTGTCTCTGTGTCTCTGTGTCTCTGTGTCTCTGTGTCTCTGTGTCTCTGTGTCTCTGTGTCTCTGTGTCTCTGTGTCTCTGTGTCTCTGTGTCTCTGTGTCTCTGTGTCTCTGTGTCTCTGTGTCTCTGTGTCTCTGTGTCTCTGTGTCTCTGTGTCTCTGTGTCTCTGTGTCTCTGTGTCTCTGTGTCTCTGTGTCTCTGTGTCTCTGTGTCTCTGTGTCTCTGTGTCTCTGTGTCTCTGTGTCTCTGTGTCTCTGTGTCTCTGTGTCTCTGTGTCTCTGTGTCTCTGTGTCTCTGTGTCTCTCTGTGTCTCTGTGTCTCTGTGGTGCGTGTGCGTGTGCGTGTGCGTGTGCGTGTGCGTGTGCGTGTGCGTGTGCGTGTGCGTGTGTGTGTGGTGGTGTGTGTGTGTGTGTGGTGTGTGTGTGCGTGCGTGCGTGCGTGCGTGCGTGCGTGCGTGCGTGCGTGCGTGCGTGCGTGCGTGCGTGCGTGCGTGCGTGCGTGCGTGCGTGCGTGCGCGGACCGCCCAACACAGATGCCCCCCAGCCGCAGGCAGCTCCCGATCGTTGCCGACGGGTGGGGCCTGCGGGGGGGCATCCGTCTGCGGCAGCTAGGTGCGCCAGCGCATCGAACCCGTGCCCCCCCTCAGGGTCGCCCCCCCTGCTCGGTGGATGTGCCGGCGGTGGCGGCGGGGGGCGGGAGCGGAGCGCGCTCTGCGAGAGGAGCCATGCACAAGGAAGTATTGCAGAGTCCTGTGTCATTATGGGCACAATCATCTCGAGCACTAGGCTAGCTTCCCAGACCCCCTCGGGTCATGAAAAAATCACGACGGGAGGTTTTTTGCTATTTTCGGCCTCCGGGGGCCCTCGCCGGGACTCGGGACCGTCAAAAAACGACTCAGGATGAAGAGCCGGTCCTGGGGAATGGGTCGGGATCTCTGGGGGTCGCGTCATGGTCTGGGTTCTTCCTTCACTCTCGTACATGAATGCTTCTAAAGCCATGGAATTGTCCTAAGCACAGGGGGCTGGGGCGTGCTCCGGCCCGGGCATGGTGCTTGGGCGCGACGTCGGCTGGCGCACGCGCCCGATTTCTCCGCAGCGCCTCTACACGGCGGAGGGCTCGTCCTGGAGAGGAGCCGGGTCCTGAGGGACCGGGGTGCCGGCGGCTTTTCTGTCCAGGTTCGGGCTGTGCCCAGGCCCTCCACGATCCCAGGGAGGATGCAAAAATGAACGGCTCGGGATGACGAGCTGATCCCGGGGAGAGTCCTGGGAACCAGGACCCGTCTCTCGCTCAAGACACGTTTCCCCTCATATCCGAGGTTCCAACAAGAATTGGAGCGGCGGGATATTGGCAGCTTTCGGCCTCTGGGGACCCTCGCTGGGCCTCGGGAGCGTGAACAAAGACGACTCAGGATGAAAAGCCAGCCTCGGGGAAGTGGTCTGGACCTCCGGGGCCCACGCATCTTGGGAGGGTCCTTGGCGGGCTCAGAGGGCACTTGAAACCGTCTTGGGGCTGTCTTGAGGCCTCTCGGATGCGTGTTGGAGGCCATTTTGAGCCATCTTGAGGTATCTTGGGCGATCTTGGAGGCCATATTGGCCTAGCTAAAGCCCTCTTGAAGCTATTTTGCGCCATCTTGGACGCTCTAACCCCTCGCGGGGGAGAGCCCGTCCAGACCCAGGGAGGGTGGGGGGGGAGGTAAACCTCCCGAGCAGGGACAGGAGGAAGGCTGGAAAAGGAACTGCTCTAGACCACCTGCGCCCAGAGGGCTGGTGGGATTGGAGCGGCCGGACGTCTGGCGTTCCTTCGTGCCGCAGGACGTTTGGGACACCTCAGCGCTCCTGGCCAAGCCGATCTTTGGCCCGGGCTGGGCTCGGCCAGTAATTTTCCGGTGTGGTGGTCCGATGACGGCCCTCGTTTTGTCTCGGACGTGTCCAAGCCAAAGCACAAAACAACATGGCAAGTGTCCTTTTCCATGGAATATATGAATGGAAAAGTCTTTAAAGCAATGTTCCATTTAATGTGTTTTTTTGTTTATCGATTTCTGGGGTATGAGCACATCACTATGCTGCCATGTATTGGGGGGTGGTCGTGCGGAGTGGCACGTGAAGAACTGCCCGCACCCGCGGTCCGAGTTGCAGCAGTCCTCCGAGCACCAGACGATGGTGCCCAACCCCTTGCAACCAGGCGCCGACGCCCTCGGTAGTCAACGTCGCTTGCGCAGTCAGGTGAGAAGAATTGCCTGGGAGCTCAGTGCAATTGCGGCGTGAAAGAAGAGCATCTGTGTCATCTGGGAACTGCCCACTGGAGTACAGATCGTCGAAAGGCGTGACGTCACAAACCTTCAGTTTGTCCGCCGAGCACCCGATCCTCAGTGGTCGGCCAGTAACTCGCCACCGGTAGCGCGTTGGCTTTCAGACGCCCATCGTCACAACGATGTCGCAGGTATGGTCGCTCTGATGCGTAGGACCCCACAGGAACCCACGCGGCCACCCGAGCGTGCGGTAGCCACCACAGGAGCGGTGGTGCGCAGTGCGCCAGCTGCCTGTATGAATTCAGGAGAAGCATGAGTCCATACGGAGGAATTCCATACGGAATGCTCGGCCTCCGTCTGGGCTTACTCCGTCTGGACTTAGCCTTCCTTGATAAAATGCAAAGTCCATACGGGGAAAGTCCATACGGAGTGCTCAGTCTCCCTTACGCAGTCTGGACTTAGCCTCGCCTGCTGAACCATTGGGAGCCCAAGCGACCATCGAAGTGCAACCGCCCATGATTAGGAATTCATCGGAACCCGAGCGGCCACAGGTGAATTCACTGGTCACCTATAGGAACCCAAGCGGTCACCAGAGAGCGCGCCAGCTACATATAGGAATTTAGAGGAAGCTACGTGGGCACCAGAAAGAGCGCGAGGACAGCAATTCTAGCGCATAGATGGGAAGTTTTCAGTGCAAGCATTGTTCGGGGACCTATCGTGCGAACTGTCAAAGTCATGGGCGTGCCGAGAATGAGGTCAGGGTTACGTGTCTTCTCCTCTGATCTCCCATACCCCCAGTCCACCACCGTGTTGCGCAGGCTTGTTGTTTCAAACGTGTGATACGTGCAACGTTCTCTACTCATCGTGAGCGGAGGGGGCCATGCGAGCAGGCCTTCAGACGAGCTTCGGCAAGGCTGCCATATTTTTTTCTTTGAGTCGCATGCACTCGTCAGTATGGTTAGCGAGAGAGTGGGCAGGGCAGGGGCGGACGAAGCCACTGAGCAGGCGGAGCAGTGATAACACGGCGAGCGTGTGGGGAGACGAGGCTGTTGGTGATGTTCTAAATGCTCAGCGTGTCCCACCGTCCCATCAGGGAGTGTATCGTTCGTTTCTTGTGTGAGTTATATAACGTCGTCTGGCCTTGCTTGGCGCGGTCTGTTCTCTTCAGTTCGCGGGCTGCATGATATGGTGTTGTCGGGCGTGGTGCCATTGTGCCGACGTGACATATATATATATATATATATATACATATATATGTGTCAAGCTTGATCTAAGGTCGGACCCCATGCCATCGCGGATGCGTGGGCGCGCAAAGGTGGCAGTAGATGCTTTGCCGTGATGCGACGTTGTTCATACATGCAGTGTGTTTCTCTTCCGTCTCGTTCGTGTCTTCGTGCCCTTAAGTGAGTGGTCGCCGCTGTCCCGTCATCTAAGCACCCGCCCTCCAATTACGTTCCTGCCTACCCTTTTCTCTTCGTCCAAGTCCTGCCTTTTCCCGCGCCTCCCCTTTGTTATCTCCTCTACGCCACCTGTGTGTCCGCAGTCGGCGGGCGGTCAGATCTGCGGAAGCATGGGTGGCTTATATTCTTCTGGCCCGAATTGCTCTCGGTCTTCCAGTTTTGGCGTTCTTTGCTTCTGAACAACTTGTTTTGGTGTGACCGGCTCTTGTGATGTTTGTTTTGGTTGTGCCCGATCTACGACCCGCTTGTGTGTTTCTGTTTGGCTTAGGATGCGACAGGAGCGGGAGAGCAGGAGCGAAGACGGCAGTGAAGACAAGGAACAGCTTTTGACAAGAAAGTAACAACCACCAACGCACATGAATATCCACAGCGACGGGCCTGAAAACGCTACACACACGCAGTAACACAACGATAAACCATCGTAGCGTTTCTAGCGCTTTTAGTTTGTCAAACGCCCAAAGTGCAAAGCGGTAAACAAACACGCCCAGGGCGCTTCTTTAATGTAGAACCAAACCGTCGCCGCCCGGCGACGAGGGAGGAACAGCGATGTAATGATATATAGGAAGTCCATGAACAAGGGCGACGGGGACGCGGAGTGGAAAAGGCATGACCTCCTGTGGACCCCCGTTTCCAACCCTTAGAATGCGTTCCGATGGGGAGGTGGAGTTCTCCTCCCTTTCCTTCCCCTTGATTGGGGGGCGAGGGAGGGAAGGCGTAAGAAGGTTGGGAGAGGGAGATCTCCTCCCTCTTCCTTCTCCTCGATGGGGGGCGAGGGAGAGAGGGCGGAAGAGAGGGAAGGGGGGAGGAGGAGCAGCAGCAAAAGGAGGAGGGGGAGGGGGCGGAGCAGCACAGTCGGCCCACATGAGTAGGTCGACCCTGCCAAATCAAGGGCACCCTTGTGTCCTGTGCCTCGCGACCCATACTTCCTACATTCCTGGGGCAATGTGGCCCTCGGAAGGGTCTCGTGTCCTCTCGCGTGCCCTGTCCAATCGAGTCCGACCGTAGAAGAAGCAGGGAGAGCGGGAGAGCCACCTCGGGCGCCCGGCGAGCTGTCCACGGTGGACGAGGGCTGCGAGGAGTCCCAAGCCGGTGCGCCGTGCAGGGGGGGATGGCGCCGGGAGGGCCTCGCAGAGCCGCTGGTGTTAGCAGAAGAGGGGGAGGGGGCGGAGGAGGAGGAGGAGGAGGAGGAGGAGGAAGTTGAGCTGAGGCCACTTGATCTAGTCATCTAGCCTAGGGGCGAGGAGGAGGAAGAGGAGGAGAAGGCGGAGGAGGAGAGGGAGGAGGAGGAGGCGGAGGAGGAGGAGGAGGAGGAGGAGGAAAACATGGACGGGAAGGGAAACGGAGAGAGAGGAGCAGGAGGAGGAGGAGGAGGAGGAGGAGAAGAGGAAGAGGAGGAGAGGATGAGGATGAGCTTGGGGGGAGAAGGAGGGCTGGGGAAGCTGTAGGAGAAATGTGGACGAAGGACGGGGAGGAGGTGGAAGAGAAACGGAGAGACCGGGAAGGGATGAGGGAAGACAAGGATTTCAACGCTCTCTCACAATAGTGTTCGCTCTCCTGGGCTGCCCTCGTCGTCACGTGAACTCTTCTTCAGATCTTGGTCAGAAGGTTGTCTGGAGGCCTCATTTGGGGCAGGGATGGATTGATGACGATGAGGAGCCAAAAGCGAGGTGTGAAGAGGAGGAGTGAAGAGGAGTGAGGAGGAGGAGGAGGAGGAGGAGGTGGAGGAGGGTGAGGAGGAGGAGAGGAGGAGAGGAGGAGCAGGACCAGGAGCAGGAGCAGGCGCAGGAGTGAAGAATGACGAGCGATGAGGAGCTATGACGAGTGGTGAGGAGTGATGAGGAGTGGTGCTTGGAGAGCGCGGGGTGAAGGAACGTGAATTTGGAGTGGGGAAGAAGCAACGAGCGATACATGAGGACGTAGTGAGGAATGATGGGTGAGGGGCCAGGAGGTTGGAGGAAGAATGGGAGGACGAAGCATCGGAGAGTAGGACTGAGGAGTAAGGATGGAGGAGAAGGAATGAGGAGGAGGAGGAGGAGGAGGAGGATGAGGAGGAGGAGGAGGAGGAGGAGGAGGAGGAGGAGGAGAGGGAAGGAGGTTGACGTCGTTCGCCCTTCCTGGGCCTCCTGGGTTACCCTCGCCGCCACTGCTGGACCCGCCCGCAGTAGGTGACTGATTTTGAGGTGGGTGAGGACGAGGAAGATCAGCAGTACGAGAAGGAAGAGGAACGGGACAGCGGAAGGCACGGGAAGGATTGAGGCGGAGAAGTTGGACGGGGAGTGCAAGGTGGACGAAGCAGCGCCGATTGAGGATGGGGTTTGGATTGCGGCCCGTGGTAGCACAGCGTTCTTGCACCTGCGCTGCACGAGCTTCCTTGGCGTTCCGCCCTCGCCTCGGTCCTCATCCCCTCCTTCTGCTGAGCCCTCCCATCTTCGCGCTCCGTCGATGCAGTCATCCGTTGGGCGCTTGAGGATCGGTACTGCTGCTCTTGCGGACCTCCCGGGCTCTGCCCAGAACTACAGCGAAGAGCTGCCCACTCACGGGCCTGAAGGTACCCCGCCAGCCCTGTAGACCCTAGACAACGATACGGTCAACCGGCACAGTGAGGATGGGCAACTCTCCCAAGGGTACCCTTGCATCCTTGCCTCCCCGGTCCAGCCTTGGCCACTCTCGTCGGCCGCGCCCCGCTCGAGAAGCCTCGACATGAGCGTCCAAGGCGCTTGCATCCTGATCGCGCATCCTTATGACACCGGCTTGAATGTACCGCCAGCCCTGGAAACCCTAAACAACGATAGCTCCCCGGTACGACCACCCCTCTATGCAAGGCTTTTGGTCGTACATGTTCATCGCCAGGGGAGCTCCCGGATTTTGGTTGAATCTACAATGAAAAGCTGTCCATTCACGGGCCTGAAGGTACCGCCAGCCCTGCAAGCTCTAAACAGCGATAGTTCCCCGGTCCCACACACCTTCCTTTGCAAGGCTTTCTCGGTAGTATACATATCCATCGCCAGGGGAGAACCGATCTCCCAGGGGCTCCAGAGGGCGGCAAATTGAGCACTAGGGTCCGAATAAATCCATATCCACCCCTCCTCCTCCTCCTCCTTCTCCTCCTCCTCCTCCTCCTCCTCCTCCTCCTCCTCCTCCTCCTGCCCTCTCCTCCTCCTCCTCCTCCTCCGCCTCCTCCTCCTCATCATCATCCCCTCTCCTCCTCCTGCCCTCTCCTCCTCCTCCTCCCCCTCCTCCTCCTCCTCCTCCTCCATCCCCTATCCTTATAGATAATCCCTCCCTGTCGCACCCCGAGGCAAGCTTTTACGGTGGGCCCGGCGTTTTGAATGAGACTTCCTCACCATGTATGACTCTGAAGCTTCAACACTGAGAGCAGTTTCAAATATGGAGGGCGGGTCGTTTCAAAATGCGGCTCTCTCTTCAGCGCCGCGCATACTCGTTTTTACCATGTGCGAGAGCTTCACGGATTGAGGGCGGGTGGTTTTCAAAATGTGGCTCTCGCCTTAGCGCCGCGCGCATTCGTTTTTAACATTTGCGAGAGCTTCACGGATTGAGGGCGGGTGGTTTTCAAAATGTGGTTTTCGCCTAAGCGTCGCGCGCATTCGTTTTCAAAATTTGCAAAAGGTTCACTGATTGAAGGCGGGTCGTTTTCAACATGTGGTTCTCGCCTTAGCGCCGCGCACATTAGGTCTAAAACTTTGCACGGGTTTCACGAATTGAGGGCGGTCCATTTTCAACATGTGGCTCTCGCTTCAGCGCCGCGCACATTCGTTATATATATATAAGTATACATATATACTTATATAGTTGCAAGAGTTTCACGGATTTCCATGATCAGCGCTCCAGAAATGGTGTTTCGAACGGATTCAGGATTATGCGGGCGCAACAGTTATGTTGATTCGCTGTGTTGAAGTCCCGAAAATGGCGTTCTGACGCGGTTCAAGAACGTCAAGACGCAGCAGTCAGGTTGATACGTGGCGTTAAAATCCAGAGAGCAATGTTTTGGCACGCTCCAGGATCTGCTAACTGTTGTCTTCCTTCCAACGAGGCAGTTCCCTTAATGGAAATGAGCCGTTGTAGGACCTATGACTCTTGGGTTTCAACTGGTCCTCCTCCTTCTCCTCTTCGTCCTCTCCTCCTCCTCCTCCTGCTCCTGCTGCTCCTGCTGCTCCTGCTGCTGCTGGTCCTCCTCCTCCTCCTCCTCCTCCTCCTCCTCCTCCCCCTCCTCCTCGTCCCCCTCCTCCTACTTCTCCTCCTCCTCCTTCTCCTCCTCCTCTTCCTCCTCCTCCTCCTCCTCCTCCGCCCCCCTGAGGTCCAGGAAAACGTGTTTCCCAGGTGGATTTGAACCAGCAGGCTGGACACATGTGATGCGGCAAGCCTGGGCGAGAGCTGAATGCACATGTGGCAAGATGATGCTTGTACAGCGCTCTGCCCTCCTCACGCCCGCGAAGGCCGGCGGGCTTCCGCGCGCGTGTGTCTGGCGCTTAGACCCCGGACGTTCCAAGCGTGAATCCAGCCATGGGTGTCTTCGGTCTCTTGGTGCGCATCCCAGCGTCGGGCTCCTCCAATCCCGCTGGAGTCTAGACCATCCCTCCCTCCTCCCCCCCCACCTGCAGGCGACGCCGCTGCCATCCCCTTCCCCAGACCCCCGACGTCATGATTTTTCCATGACGCGACCCCCAGAAGTCCTGACCCACTCCCCAGTACCGGCTTTTCATCCTGAGTCGTTTTGTGACGGTCCCGAGGCCCTGGGGCCCCCAGAGGCCGAAAATAGCTAAAAACCTCCAGTCGTGATTTTTCCATGGCCCGAGGTGGTCTGGGTCCTCCGCTCCCACCCCACCACCTCCTGGCCTCTCCCCTGGGAGGTCTTCGTGGCCCTGTCTCGGGCCTTCTTCCAGTGAGGGGGGGGGGGGAGGGAGGAGGGACGAGGGAGGAGGAGGAGGAGGAGCCGGAGGAGGAGCCGGAGCAGGAGGAGGAGGAGGACGGTTGGGGACAGGAGCTGAAAGGGGAGGAGGAGGAGGAGGAGGAGGAGGAGGAGGAGGAGCAGCAGCAGCAGGAGCAGCAGCAGGAGCAGCAGGAGGAGGAACAGGAGGAGGGGGCGGGGCCACGTGCCCGCGGCGCAGGGGAGGGGCCGGCCGCGCGCGGCATGGCACGCTCTCCCCGTTCGCCCCGGCCCCCCCCCCGCGGCACGGGGCTCCGTGGCGGCGGCGCCTCGCGCGCCACAGCGGCCCAGAGCGGCAACGGAAGATGCTCACTGTTCGAAGAGAAAGAATAATAATGACAATACGAAGGAGAAACGTAACAATGATAAGGATAATAGTCATACTTATAATCTTCGTAATAATAACACTAACAATGAGAATACTACTACTAATAATAGTAATAATAGTATAGTGATAATAACACGAAGATGACGAAGCAGAAGGGGAATAATGAGAGTAATAAGAAGAACAACTAATAACAATCATGATAAGAGGAAGAAGAAGAAACGCCATGAACACAAACTTGTGGCGCTCCGTGCGGGTTTCTCCGATCTGCGCTGGAGCCCCCTCGCGGCGCCCCCGGCGCCGCCCCGGGCGCGCTCCGCGCGCCAGGGGGGGGGGCCTCCCAGCGCAGATTCAAGAAACCTGTGCGGAGCGCCAGAAGCTTATGTTTCTACCGTTGTTCCTTCTTCTACCTGTGATCGCGCTGGTCCCCCCCCATCTCGCCCCAGTCCCGAGGGTGTCCTCCCTGCAGGCGCTGACGGGGAGGAAACACGTCCATATCCACGGCCTCGCGGGCGGGGCCCTGGGGCCGCGACCCTAAGTAAGTAATTATGGATACGGGGCACTTTTTCTCGGACGCCCCCGCGCGGAAAGTAGCCTCACAATCGCGTGTCCATGGGATCGCGCCCCGGAGTCCAGACCGCGAGGGCGTGGATATGGATACCTTCACGGCTTGTGAGGTGCGCCGCTGGAGACTGCTCTGCACACAAACACTAACTAGGTGATTCAAAAGTCAGTCAGGCAGACGGGCACAAAGCATGCACAAGAGGGAGGTCCGCGTTGCCAGGCGCTTGGCATGTGCCAGCAGCCTATCGCACGCGG